TTCGGTCATTAAGACAGCATAGGATTGCATATTATAGGGTTTTCTACTTTATTCTGCATTGATCAGGCACCAGCTCAAATATTCTATACAGTTCTAGGTACTATATTTTAGGAAGAAGTCAGAGAAACTGGAACAACTTCAGAAAAGATAGAAAGATCAAGGCATGAGAAACTAAGTCCTGTGAAGGTAGATTGAAGGAACTGGGCATCAGAGGGATCAATACAGTCATGGTGGGCATGACTGCACAATCAAAGTCCTGTTCCTTTTTAATATGCATCTCACATGTTACACACATGTAGAAAAGGAGTGGGGCTTTGATCACAGTCTCACCATCATCTTGACTTTTTTGGCCCTTTCCCTGCAGACACTTCACAAACTGGGAATGTTCAGCCATGCGAATACTAAAGGGGGGATATGATAGTGCCCTTCAAAAACTTGAAGGGATATCACAAAGAAGTTTAAATTCTGTTGTCTATCATTCTAGAATGTAGGATATAGAGTACTAGATTAAAGTTATAGGAAGGCAGATTCCTGTTTACTATCAGGAAAAATGTCCTGACAGTAAGAGCAATTTGATAGTGAAACCAACTGCCCTGGAAGATAGTGACTCCCCTTCACTGGATGTGTCAAGAAGTGGCTATGCAGATGTCAGGGGTGTTCTAGTTTGGATTCCTACACTGAACAGGGTTAGGGACTTGACTGCCTAAATGACCTTTTCCAATGTTATGATTTTATATAAAGATCTTGCACAACAGAAAGTTCTTGTTTGGGGTGAAACATCTGGAGTCGGAAAAGAACTGAACCTTCACAACAAGTAAGTATTAGTTTCACTATGGCACCAGATCTGAGGTGCAAATCTGAGCTGCAAACAACTGCTAGATGACAGCAAGCAATTAGAACTTTCTGCATATCTTTGCTGTCATCAAATGGTTGCCTAGATTTTTGCAGCCTAAATCTGGTGGCCCTAAGCTTCACACTGTGAAGACCATGGTCCTAAACAAAGCCTGTTAAAGAGACAATTGTTTCTCTTTCGACAGGAGTCAACTATTGTATAACCAGCATGGGAAACAGTTTAAATATTTTATAATGATGTATGATAAAACTTTTAATTTTGTTTCTTTTTAGGATGGAATATTTTAAATTGTTGGGATTTTGGAAAGTTTAGAATGTTTAAAAACAAAACAGACGTTGATACAAATCAGCACTATGTCCGATAAAACCATGTTTTGGGGTGGGGGTGGGATCGGATTGTTTTAGAACAGTTTTGCAAACAATAATTAGGGAAAAATGTGAAAGCTTGTGTGCAGATATTATTAAAACAAGAGCTTTTAGTTGATAGTTGAAACAGTTTTACTCAAGTGGCCAACAAGTCAAAACTCCAGGCCATTACTTGAAAGTATATTTGGTGCTAGTGATAGGCTTAATGTTTTTTTTTCCACTCATGATGCTTAGAAGCATAATCTGAGCGTCTGGCATATTACTTGTTCCAGCTATGAATTTGTATCATATAAAGTAGAACATAGTCAAAAAGGGTATGTATGTCTATTCTGACTCATGTTTTATTTTAATTTTAGATATACTTAAACATATAACAACATAAACATCATTTGTGAAAACATCTAAAGCTATGTAACTATGAAATGGTTGCTCAAATACATATTTTCTTGAAATAATGTTGCCAGATTCTTTTCTTAAACAGATTGACTGCTGTCACCTCTCTCTTCTTCCTAACTTTAAAACAATGTAATTGTCTGATAGGTCAGGAACAGCCATAACTACTTCAGTCATAAAAGGGTTTAGTGATATCTTACTTTAAGAGATGTAATCACCTTAAACTATGCAGGCTTTTATGCACACTCCTTGGGAATAAGCCCCACTGACCTTAGTGAGGTTAAAGGTGAAGCCTCCTCATGTCTTGGTGACTTCACGTACACGTACACACAGTTTTCTTGGCAAGTGTTTAGTATTGGTTTGGCACTGCCTCCTGTTGATACAATTTTCTTCTTCTTCCCAGTCTTATCTTATAGCCCTGAGACTTTCCAGGGTCCTCTCTCATATTACCCCAGATTTGATCCTCCTTAGCTTTTCAAGATCAGCCAAGGTCAATTAGGTGCTGCCATCCAGTTAGATTTAGTGACATCACTTCTGAATAAACACAGAATCCCTTTGTAACATTAACATTGCAACTGAACGCAATAGTTTGAGATCCACAGTTTATTTTCATGCCCTGCTAACTGCAGCATAGATGCTTCACTTACCATTTTATAGAGTGTATCTTCACAATTGTACCTATGTCTCAGCCCCAAATCACCACAGAAGTATCCTACGTTCAACTTTAGCTGTTCCAGTTTTGTCAGCTTTGCGAGATGGTCCATACAAGAAACACAACCAGAAGTACTAGCTCTATATTTATTGTAAGGTTACATTATCAGAATCTTGCAAGTCTGAAAGTACATCTCTCCTTCCCCTTGCCTTTACAGTCCAAGAAACTAGGGAAGATCCTTTCTGAGACATTTGCTATGCCCCACTCCTTCTCCGGACTCAGCTGCTGCTTGGCTGACTGTTGTCTAGACAGTGGCTGTTCCACCTGTCTCCCGTGGTCATTCCCATACACCATTACAACTTTTAAAATAGTGTTTTCCCCCTTCACCCCATACAAGCCTTGCCATACAATTGGCAGTGTCCCACTTACAATGTTGAATTGGGGGCTGGAATCAGCCTAGCTCCTACTGGTTGTTTGAAGATGCTGCAAGTGTGCTCTCTCCTGGGCCAATTTTTGGGCTATGCCCTCCATAGCCATTTTGGCTTGGGCTGCTGGAGAGACCAGACATCTGGATCTGCAGATGCCTCTGCCTGCAAAGGTCTGACTGGGCCCTTTTCAGGCTCCTTATCTACATGGCTTTAGTGCTGTTTTAGAAGAGCACTAGAACTGTTTTTAAATATTTGTCTAGCAGTCTCCTAAAATAACCCCAGAGCTGTGATTAAACAAACAAACAAACAAGGCTGATGTTATGGTTGATTTAAATCACGAAAGAGCTTGAAACTTGCAGAATGAAGAGTTTGATTCTAATGAGTACATTACATTCTGCTTCAGCTGACAAGGGGCTTGGGATGCCATACTTTTGACAATTTTTCTTATTTTGGAAGAGGGAGCAGCCCCGTTTTGTATACTTGAATGCTATTTTGTGCACTCCCTGGGCTACTCCTAGGTCCTGCTTGCTGCAGTTCCTTGCTGTGAATGCTACATTCTCTTCAATAGGCACAGCTATATGAGATATATGAGATAGCTGGGAATGAAATTGACAAGAGTGGCCTTATTCTGATACACAAACATGTATTGCTCCTGTAAAAAACACATACACAAACTCACCACTGTAAAACTTTTTTCTGGGACATCTGTACATAAACTAGATACAACTGCTGCTGCTCCTATGAGGGTTGCTCTTGACTGAATTTCTAAGGTACTTTTGCTTCTGTTGTGTACTATAAATCAATATAATAATACATTTTATTGTTTAATCATCTGACTGTATCAAAAAGTTATAAAAAGAATACAAGAAGCAATAGGACATATTCATAACAAATCATCTCCCCTCCAGTCAACCCCAATCTGTTCTAGGTAGTCAATCCTTTTCATAATGGTCTTTGATATGGAAATTGTAGTCTTCCTCATTCCTTGCAAAAGGTATGATAGTTTATCCTGGGTGTCCCAATATTTCTTAGTTTTTAAGTAAGGATCTAAGTAAATGGCCTTTCCGCAAAAGAAGTAATTTTTAATTGATTACATGACCCACTAAACTAAAAATTGTCTTTAATAATCCCCTCTTAGCTAAATGTGTTAAGTCATTCACTGTTGTGTGAACTCAAAATTGTCTTGAATAAACCCTGATTAAAAATTACTCATGCTATGTATAGATAACAGCTCCTCATATTGCTATACCACAATCCCCACAGGTTGTGCTGGCTGAGACTTACAGTTCAGGAACATCTGAAACTCAGCAACTTCCCTACCCATATCTTAAAAACTAAGCGACTTAAAAGCAATTAAAAACGTTGCTTACACTTGTTCTTCTCTCTCTCATTCTTACGAGCATTCATTCCCACCCTGGGGAAGGACCTCCCCCTTCAGGAAGACTTTGAAGACCTGGCTGCTTCCTCAGGTTGAGGCCAGGAATGTTACGTAAGCTCGTCATGGAAGGGAGGGGGGAGCACCTGTTAGTGCGCCCCAGCTATGTGTTTTGTTCTTCTTGTTGCGATATTGTGATTTGGTGGTCACTGTTGTAAGCTGCCCGCAGTGGCATTTCTGAGAGTCGGGCGTACAAATCAATCAGCCAACCAATGGCTATGTACCTGCCCGTAGGTACACATCCCCTACATCCAGGTGCACATCGACCGCTGACCCACAGTGTGCCTGGTGAAGCAGCTGCCCTCGGCAAAAGCTTCCGGGCCATCTCGGGTCCTTTAAACCTCGCCGGCGCCCCCCGGTCTCTTTGCGGGCGCGCCAGAAAGCAGGGAGGCCGGCTTCCCAGGACGCTCGCGGGCTGACCGGGAGCAGGCGGGCATGTGAGGATTCCCGAAGCGTCCCCAGCAAAGGGGGCCCTTCTGCAGCACTAAAAGACCCGAGCGGCCTGCGGGGAGCTTGCATTGCTTTTGAACCGTACTCAGAATAGATATTATTGCTTCGTTGCGGCTGCTGGTTATTCTTCAGAGGCCCTGGTTTAACTGCTTCGGGGAAGGAGGCGCCTGGCGCAGCTGGACCTCGCGAAGGTGTCAGCGAGGGAAACAGCCGTTCGGTGACAGCCCCGCCGCCACTTTAAAAGCAGCAGCGGCAGCAGCAGCAGCAGCTGCGGCGGCAGCCAGGGGGCGAGGCACATTTCCTTCCCCCTTTCGCTAGCGGAGAAGCGGTTCCTTCTGGCGCAGCCTCGCAGCGAGGAGCGAAAGGCTCAGACCGCCGCGCAAGGCGGCGCAGGCCTCTGCCAGCGGACCCCGGGCTGGTGAAGCAGCTTGGCGGCGGCCCCTCCGCTCCCCAAGGCGCAGGGCCAGGGCCAGATTCCTCTTCTCTGCGCCGGCAGACCTAGCGGAGCCAACATGGATCCCGGCACGAAGAGGACCGCGGCGGAGGAAGGGGACCCGCTGCAGCCCCCGGAAGAAGAGGAAGAAGTGGACCCCAGGATTCAAGTAAGGGGAGCCGCCGATCGCCCTGCCCGAGATCCTTTGGAGGAGTGGGCCGAGGGGCGCGTTTGCAGCTGAAAGCGGGTGGGGTGGCAGGATCGGGGCGTGAGGAGATCTGTAATTACCAAGTAAGCGTGTGTGTTTGCGCGGTACATCCTAGCTTAGGTTCCTTGAATCTTCGCGATTATCTTTCGCTTTCTCTCCCTTCACACATGTGATTCCATAATGGGAGAAGGGGGCGTTTTCCGTTGTACCCCCCCCCTTTTTTTGGCTTTGGCTGCATTAGATTTCCGCCGAAGTCCTTCTGCAGCTGGCTGGAGAAACTCGCTGCAAATGAAAGATGCTCCAGTTTCGAAAGGAGACCCCCACCTTCCTTCACGGAGTGGCGTTTTCGTGCGCGAGCCGGATCCCTCTTCTCCCTGTTTGCTCCGGTTTCCTCGTTTCAGCTCCTCTCCGCAATCCGCTTTATCTTTGGAGATTTTTAGCATGGCGGAGCAACGCGAACCGGGTGGTGGGAGAAGAGGAGGGAGACCGCCAAGAGATGCCGCGCCTGGGCTGCAAGGACACAAGAAGGGCTGGGGCGAGTTAGAGAGAGGGGGAAGGGGCCTTAGAGGTAATTTCATCCTGGTGCAGGACCTTGCTGTACTTCTCTTAATATGCAGCACTGCATCACTGTTGACAGATGATGCCAGCTTGTGCTTTAAATATCACCACGACCCTGTCATCAAAGGCTAGAAAAAAGTTTCAGTCTCTGGGGCCTTTGGATGTCCTCAGTAAACTCTGTTGTGTCAGGTAGTTCAGCCCTCCAGCAAGCTGGTCTGCTCCAGGTATATACTGGGACTGCAGGTGACAGCAGCTAGCTGGCTTCAGCTGACCTTGAAAAGTGGGTTGGTACCTGGATGGGACACCACTGGGAAACTTCAAGGCCATAATGGTGATCAGGGAAGTCAAAAAGTCATCCTGGAAGAAGGAGATGGCCAACCAGTTTCATATCACTGCCAAGAAAAGCGCATGGATGAGAAAGCTAGATTGACTTGAGGGAGAAACATTATCTTTACCACAGCCAGCAGGCTGTTAGGAGGGAATCTTAGTAGATGCAGATTTAACACAACTTGAGGGATAAGGTTGGGCAGGTTGATGCCAGCCTGACAGAATACACAGGAAGGAATATTAATATATTCTATCCACTCTGTCACAATTTCTCACTTTTCCCATCACTGCCAAAATTGACAAGGAAGCATCTCCTTCCCCAGTACAAGGCCAGCCAATTTGTGAAGGTTGTTAGTGGAAGTGTCATTTGTGGGACTGCTGTTATCAAAAGAGTGACTTATGGTAATTAGGGAAATGGGGCTCTTTTTAAAGCAGGACTGTTGCACATATCCTGTGAAACTCCTTCTCTAATACGGCTCTCACATGACAGATCTGTTGCCCCCTGAAAAGATTTACATTGCCAGACCTCTGGCACTGAGTGGATTCATTCAATAATGTCTGACCCTTGGTTTCATTCCACTGCTGGATTTTGCTGGCAGTGTTTGTGGCTGTCCTGCAATTTTTGTGGTATTTTTCTGCTAATGTGTTGCTTGCTTTTCCCCCTTAATGTGTTCCATGAGCTCTTTGGAAGACATTTACGTGGCCTTTGTTATGAATAAAATAAAATTGCTTTCACAGTTCAGTGTTTTGTTTTTGCCAAAAAAAATATTGCTATGTGCATTCTTCTGATTTTCATGGCAATGAACTTAACAAGGGTTTCTTTCATTTTATCGGATTGGGATCTGTAACAATAGCCATAATGATGCCATGGATGGGGGAAGCTTACCAGCCAACAACACTGGCAATTCACTGCAAACACTCCTTTCAGTAGAGTTTCATAATACCTTTCCATATACAGGGAGGCAAGGTTAAAATAAGAGGAAAAACATTTCACCACAGATGACTCAAAACATTGTTTGAAACAGAATCCTTACCTCTTCCCCCTCCCTCCCTCCCTGCCAGCCCCTGACTTGAAGGAAACTTTGTTCCTTTATATTCTTAAAACACTTGAAGTGCATATAAAATGGTTGTATTTTTTTATAGACAGATGCTGGCAATAGGGCAGGAACTCAAAAAATGTTTTAAAGCTGGTTTTTGAGTGAGAAGATCATTTGTTCAAATATCTCCTTGTCCGTGAATATTGGCACTCCATCTGCAGTGTGGAGCGATAATGCTAGTTTGTTCTATAATGCTCTTGTGACAATTACTGGGAAAGGGAAAGTGAAGCATATGGGTGCTATAAAAAGCTATATCAGAAATTCCTTCTGTTTTCTCTCCTTTTTTCATATCACAGTGGACTGAAAATCTAGAAACGTAAAATATCAGTGGCTGGAATATTGGCCTAAGCATCTGATACAAGGCATGATAAAATGTGCAACGTGACATCACTGTACAAATAATGCAAATTACATAATTCATGACTTCATGACACATATGACATCACTTGCCCCCTTCTCTGCTGTACAGACATCAGGCAGACACAGATGCCTTAAGTCAGGAGAGGGAATTCAGTCATAAGTCTTATTTACTAGAGCTGCTTTGGTCAATCTCTCTTTCTCCTACCAGGAGTAAAGCTACACTTCAGAGAGTCTTTTTACATTTTTAGAGAGAATGTGAGACAAACATGTGCACTGAGCTCCTTGAAAGAATGACAGGGTAAACAGAATAAAATTAATAATTTTAGTATTTTATACTATGACTTATGCAAGGAATTTCTTTACTCTGTGTGTGAGTGAAAAGAAACACTATTCGAACCAAACTCTTAAAGCTTTGAAGGAGTGGGGGAATATATTGCATTTTTTCATAATCAAAGATGCTGTTTCACCATTTGTCATTTTGGTAATAGTGCTACACTAAATAACCATGCAGAGCTTCAGTAGTAAATAGAAAAAAAACCTTGGAATTTAAATGAGAATTACTTTAAAAATTAACCTTCAAAAGATGTCTGGTCTCTGTCTCTGCCCTTTCAAACTGAGCCTTAACTGCAGTAAAGCTCAGTTTTACTTTTAAATGCTTTCTATCCTTCTGTTTCCATTTAACATTCCAGTGGGGGCCTCTCTGTGAATTGCCAGATGACACTTAATAACTTGATTCCTTTCCAGTTCTCTCCGTGTCTTATTACTCAACATGTGATTTTGGCTTTCTTCCAGGGGGAACTAGAAAAGTTGAATCAATCTACAGATGATATTAATCGGAGAGAAACAGAGCTTGAGGTACAGTTTCTGCTTGCTGTTTTGTCTAAACATCCAGCTGTATTTCTCTTATTTATTGCATTTCTGCTAGGAAGGGGAATCTATTTATTTAGATTTTTGTGCTAAAATATGCAGAAGAAACTGAAGAAAAAGTTTGCATGGATTAAGCCAGTGGATGAAGCAAAAGAAGGTCAAATATATCCTTCTCTGATATTGAAATTGGATGACATTTACTGTGCATAGTACCATGGATTCCATTAATCCTCTTTATTTATCCTACACCAACCAAAGAATAATACTCAGGAATCCAAGTGGCAACTACAGTGGTACCTCGGTTCACGAACTTAATTTGTTCCGCGACTTTGGTCGCGACCTGAATTGGTC